AATACAGCTGTGGCTGGGAAGTGGCTTGATGCTGTTCTCAAAGAGAAAGTTTCGGAGGTTCTTCCAAAGGTTTTGTGGTGGATTCATGAAATGCGAGGGCATTATTTCAAAGTGGAGTATGTTAAGCACCTCCCTTTTGTTGCAGGTGCCATGATCGATTCTTATACAACTGCTGAATACTGGAAGAATAGGACTAGGGAGAAATTACGGTATGTTTACAACTTTGTTATAGATTCATGTGTCGACTATGGTACTTTCTGTTTTATATGTTGTTAACTTGGTCCAATGATGTAGGATTAAAATGCCAGAAACTTATGTTGTGCATCTTGGAAATAGCAAGGAGCTTATGGAGGTTGCGGAAGATAGTGTGGCCAAGAGGGTTCTTCGAGAACATGTTCGAGAATCTCTGGGAGTGAGGAATGATGACCTACTTTTTGCCATCATAAATAGTATGATCCTACTCTGGTTCAAATATTTACATGCTTTTTTTTTACTGTAATTCTGCTTCAATTATTTATAAAAGATGTGGAAGCTAAGCTATTTCATGGAGCTTCGAACTTCTGCACATTTAAACCTTACTCATGCTTAGCTGAACACCGTGATAGTTTCTTGGCATTTATAAGGAAGAGCTCTAAAATTAATAATTTTCTTGATTTCCATAATTGTGTTTCTGATAGTTTTTTTGTCAGTTGCCTTTAGCTGTATTTGTCTTGCGGATTGATCCATTATATTTTCACGTCGAACTCAGTTTTGCTCATTGCTGCATGGATTAAGATAGCTAACCACAGTCATAACTGTTTCCTACGGGTACATGTATGTGAAGTAAGAGAGAGTGAGATTGGCAATATAAGAATGTAGTAGGGGTAACAAAGGAGATTGAGGTGATTCCAATTGTTCTTTTTTTTTTCTTCATTTAATTTAATACATTACAAAATAAACATAAATTGTTGTAGGATTCTTCCAGAGCTTTTCCAGCAATCTGGTGGAGTGAGATTAATTATGTACTTTTTGCCACCGTATAGTATCATCTCTTCCCTCTGTGTTTAGTTACCACCCATATGCACTTAATATGCCAATTTAGTTCACTATATTTGATTTTGTCACATCTAACTCATTCTTCTCTCCTAGCAATTAGCAAGTGCGTGACTTTTACAACCTAATTTCCTTTGTTGTGGAAGGGAACAGGGAGGAACTGATTGACGCTAACGGAGAGCTTAGCAATATTTGTTCTGTAATAACTTGACCTTTTACAACTGTTTGTCAAATTTGGTTTTTCTCATTGCATATGAATTAGGATGGCAAACCATTGTCATGATCATTCCCAATGTGGAGTGAGAAAGCATGGGATTAGTGATAGTCGAGGGTTAGTTTAGGGTATGAAAGGAGATTATGGTGATTTCACAGGTTATCTATATTTAATATATTACAAAATAAATACAAATAGTTGTAGAGCATGCTAAATTAATCTCCCCTCTGATTTATACCCTGCCATTCATTTTGGAGATTATTTTTACCATTATATAATTTTGAGCTTCAGGATGATATAATTGCAGGTGTTTCACGTGGTAAAGGGCAGGATTTATTTCTTGGAGCCTTTTATGAATGTTTGCTGCTCATCAAGGAGAAGAAACTGCAAGTGCCATCTTTGCATGCTGTAGTTGTAGGGAGTGATATGCATGCCCACACGAAGCTTGAAACAGAATTGCGCCAGTTTGTCATGGAGAAAAAAATCCAGGACCGTGTTCACTTTGTTAACAAAACATTGGCAGTGGCTCCTTACCTGGCTTCTATTGATGTTCTTGTTCAGAATTCTCAGGTATCTTTTAATATACCCTGTTATGTTGAGTATGAAACAGAATTTGTTCACTCTATTGTTTTTGCTAATTTCTCCTGAACCACCTATAAGTGTTCTACACTTAGCAAGACCCTTTTTTAAAAAGATTTGTTTTCAGCTTCCATGTAAGTCTTAATGCTAAGAAGGTCCTAGTCTTGTTTAAGTTTAATGCTTAACACTTCTGGAAAACAAGAATAAGTTTTGCATTGTTACTATAGTAGCTTTATGATTTTGTTATCCAACTTCATGAAATATTATGTTATTTCTAAATCTGTTTCTCTTTATATTAGGGTAGGGGAGAATGTTTTGGGAGGATAACCATTGAAGCAATGGCATTTCGCTTGCCTGTACTTGTAAGTATAATTTTCCTTGTCAATACTTATTTCCTTCTATATATTTTTTGGTTATAATTCCTGTAGTAACGTCCAATATGCTATATATACTACTGTGCTTTCTTTGCTCATTTTTCTCTTAAATATATCCGATGTTACTGTATTATTGATTTCACTATTTCAAGTTTCATTAGTCTTTGTACTTCTTATTCATACATTTAAGTTACTTATTTTATTTTTTCAAATTTTACCGTCCCTCTCTTTTCAACTTTTTCTTGTAATGATTTTCCCAAGATTATTTAAAGAAGAGCTGAGAAGTGTTTTAGGGGTTTTGCAAATTGTGTCAAAAAAAATTCTATACAGGTCTCTGTGTACTTCTATATTTTACACATGTTTAGGAATATAGTTTAGTACCTTTTAACAATTTAATTAGGGTCTGGTAAGTTCATTAATGAGAGTAGAAACTTTGACATTTTTATCTTTAACAATAATCCCAGGGAACTACAGCTGGGGGCACCATGGAGATTGTGGTGAATGGGACAACTGGTTTGCTGCACCCTATTGGAAAAGCAGGTGTGACACCTCTTGCAAAAAACATGATGAATTTGGCAACTAATGTTGAGAAGAGGCTCACTATGGGAAAGAAAGGATATGAGAGAGTGAAGGAGAGGTTTCTAGAGCCTCATATGTCACAGAGAATTGCATTGGTTCTGAAGGATGTGCTACGGAAAGGGTAACCACAATTAAATCAACCAGCTTAGGCATTTTTTCTGTTCTAAAATTGTAAATTCTATAGGATGGAGAGAATGTCATGACAAGAGTGAATTGTATACCATTGTTCCTCATTTCATATGTAGCATATGCTGTAAGAAACTGTCTATTTATAGGCTTTTGATACACATCTACACATTATATTCTTTAATTTTCTATATCAATTGTTCAGATTATTTATTGGTTTTATCCTTCAGTAATTACTCAGAAGAAAAAAAAGAACTGGATCCATTATTTTCCTAGTTTTGGATATTTCTTGTCTGGAAAGGCACCTTTCCATAAACTCACATAATAATTATAATTTTAAAAAAATTAAATATTATTTCATTGTCAAGTTCAGATAATGTGACTAAACTTTTTTTATTCAAATAATTCACAAAAAAAAATATATTATAGTACTGTAGAAGTAAATTTTTACAATATAAAAGTTCGTTTTCTTTTCCCCTTTACATAAAAGCCATCTTTCAGTAATATATCTTTGTTACAGTAGATAAAATCTCATTTATGATCTCACCGCAACATTCTTTATTAGAATTTAATTACAATATATAGTGACAGAGAGGGGAATGCTCCTCCCACACAAAGAGGAAGTCTGTCTACCATACATAATAGTCCTATTGAATTAACAGTTATTAATATATGTACTTATTTAAATTATTAAAATATCTCTACTTTGTTAAATAATCTAAAAAAACCATATGAACTATTTAATTTTTTATTTCTTTTATAATTAATAATTTTAGTTGTTATTTCTATATAATTATTTTTTTAAAATTTAATATTATGAACAAAAAAGTGTTATGTATAGCTCTAACTTTTAATATTTAATAATATAATATTTTATTTATTATAATTTAAAAAAAAATTATTTAATTAACATTCGAAGTAGGAAAGAAGTTTTGCAAACAAAATTTTAAAGATATTCTTATAAAGTAAATTTTGTAAACAAGTTAGTCTAATATCAAGATTGGAATAATATAAAGAGCAATAACATAATAAGATAATAATTGTTTTAGTGGATAACTTTATATTGATACCAATATAACTGTTTTTTGAAATTTTATTATTATTATATTATATTTTAAAGTAAATAAATAAAGGAAGTTATTAATATAAGGTAACAAGTTTTGATAACTTATTTAATTAACATGAGTGGTAAAGATTCTTAATTAATTTTAGTTGATAATTGATAGTAAATATTTTTCAAATACTTAATTACAATAACTAACGTTTTATATTATTTTATATACATAATTATATATTACATATAATATATACAAGCCTTATATAAAAAATTAGGGTTAAATATACAAGCCTTATATAAAAAATTAGGGTTAAATATGTTTTTAGTCCCTAAACTATTGGTCGTTTCTGGTTTTCGTCCCTCTTTCAAAATAAGGTACAATTTGATCCTCATTCTTTTTAAAATTTTAGTTTTAGTCCTCGAAAACTAACACCGTTAAAAATGTGGTAGTTTTCGAGGTTAGTTTTTGAGGACTAAAACCAAAGTTTCGAGGACTAAAACTAGAGTTTCGAAAAGAACGAGGACCTAATAGTTTAGGGACTAAAAACATATTTAACCCAAAAAATTAATTAAAAATAAAAGTCAATAATATAATAAAAAATTTCAATCTTTTAAAGATTTTATAACAAAATGAATTTTAATAAATTGCACAAAAACTTTTATCTAAAAAAATAATTTTATATAATATATACAAGTCTTGTATAAAAAATTAATTAAAAATAAAAGTCAATAATATAATAAAAATTTCCAATCTTTTAAAGATTTTACAAGAAAAATGAATTTTAATAAATTGCACAAAACTTTTATGTAAAAAAATAATTGTGTGTAATGTATACAAGCCCTGTATAAAAAATTAATAAAAAATAAAAGTCAATAATATTATAACATTTTCCAATCTTTTAAAGATTTTATAAGAAAATGAATTTTATAAATTGCATTTTATGTAAAATAATCTATAACAAATGAATAAAATCATTTTTTTTAAGATAACTTGAATTGCAATAAAACAGACTTGGGGACCAAGATATTAGGGCTAAAGGAAAATAGTTCGCATACACAACAGAGTTTGTCATTTTCAATCCCTTTTTCTGATTTCAGATTTTGGTTATAGCGAGTAACACTAACAATGACCGATACTGAAGACGCCACACGACGCCGTAACGCGGTTACGGAGTACCGAAAGAAACTTCTTCAACACAAGGAATTGGAATCCAGAGTGCGATCGGGTTAGTTTTTTCTCAATCCAACTTTCACTCTCTTTCGATTCTGAATTGCTTCGTAATGGTTTCATTTACCTACTTTTTATTCGTGATGATGTTATGCTCCGATTGATTAGGATTTAGTTATTGTGAATTTTGACGAGTTTGACTTTGCAATGTTAATTGCAGTGAGAGAGAATTTGCGAGCTTCAAGAAAGGAGTTCAACAAAACAGAAGATGATTTGAAGTCTCTTCAAAGCGTTGGACAGATCATTGGCGAGGTTCTCAGACCTCTCGACAATGAACGCCGTACTGAGTCTATCCCTTTTCTTCATTTTGTATTTTGAATCTTCATTTTGTATTTTGAATGATATTTTTCGTAATGTATTCTAATATATATTGAGATTATGAACACAAACTTATGTTTTACTCTATATGTGAAAACCTAAGCCTATTCATTCTGGATGATAATATATAATCTATACTTAATTGCACAATTTATTCTCCCCTATCATCAAATTTTGAATTTTACCCCTGAATTCATTTGTGCGTTTTGTAGTATTTTTTTAAGTAATGCATTATACTATGTAATGACTTTATGGGTCACATAAAAGAACACACCATCCTAGAGTTTAAAAAATCTGATGCAACTTTGTTTGTTTACAACTTTTTTTGAATCAGTGTCCGTGTGCCACCCTTTTTCTTTTTCAGCAAAAAAACTTTTTCTTCATGACACATTGGCACACTATTAAACAATTAAAAAACATGAACAGTAAAACTTGTGAAATGATGATAATTGAGGGCTAAAATCTGTAATTTGACCTGTTGTCTAATAATCTAATTAGTTGATCGAGCTGAACTGATACACTATCTCCCATGGTATTTTGTTTGGTTGATGTGTACTTAAACCTATGTTGATTTTTATTTTAGTTGTTCTTTCTGTTATCTCTCAGTGATAGTTAAGGCAAGCAGTGGACCTAGGTATGTAGTTGGTTGCCGCAGTAAAGTAGATAAGGAAAAACTGACTGCTGGTACCAGAGTGGTTCTTGATATGACAACACTAACCATAATGCGGGCTCTTCCACGTGAGGTAAGGTTTTGTGGTTTATGTTTCTTTTGGGTATTATTTGATATAGTGAATGTGAAGCTTGTGTTCTTTGGGCTATCTGGTTTAGTTTTCTTCTAAAAATTATCTGCTAGTTTTATATTCCTGATGATCAATATGGATGTGAGTTGATAGGTTGATCCGGTAGTTTACAATATGCTGCATGAGGATCCCGGTAATATCAGTTATTCCGCAGTTGGTGGTTTATCTGATCAGATAAGAGAATTGAGGGAATCAATTGAACTACCTCTGATGAACCCTGAGCTCTTCCTTAGAGTCGGAATAAAACCTCCTAAGGTGATTACTTTTCACTGTATTACTATGTCTGTGTCTGTGACCTCTGATATGTGTTTTGGAAGTGTTGTCACCTAAGTTTCAATCTAAAAGTTTTTTAGTGGTAATTTACTTTGATGAGCCATGATATTTAATTTTGAATCTGATTAGCATCTTCTTAATTATTGTTTCCCAGGGTGTTCTCCTTTACGGTCCTCCTGGTACTGGTAAAACATTGTTAGCTAGGGCAATTGCTAGTAATATAGATGCTAACTTCTTGAAGGTTAGAATTGTTTCTTTTCTTAACTCCTTTGTGTTTTCGGGTTTCCTTTAATCTTAAATATAATGTACCTTACCCTCCATACTGTTGTAGGTTGTTTCAAGTGCAATAATTGATAAGTACATTGGAGAAAGTGCCAGGTTAATTAGAGAGATGTTTGGTTATGCACGAGATCATCAGGTAGATTCTTGAATGAAGTTTCTTATTTGTTCATATAATAATTGGAAGGTAGTTCTTACTCTCCATTTTGTTTGTTAAGCCTTGCATCATTTTTATGGATGAGATCGATGCCATTGGTGGCCGTCGTTTCAGTGAGGGAACAAGTGCTGATCGTGAGATTCAGAGAACACTAATGGAGTTGCTTAATCAACTCGATGGGTTTGATCAACTTGGGAAGGTATATCTTGCTTTTTATCCTTATTTAGTCATTTTGAACATGCTTATTTCATTTATGTCAGATATAATTCACATAAAATGTGAAGTATAGCAACCTTGCAATTAATGTGTCTTCTTTATATTGCGATGTTTTCTCACTAAAAATGATTGTTCTGGTGAATTCTTATGTTGGGTTGACAACAATTACAACATTGCTGTCTCAATGGATGTTGTAGGTTAAAATGATAATGGCAACAAACCGTCCCGACGTACTGGATCCTGCTCTTCTGCGTCCTGGAAGATTGGATAGAAAAATAGAGATTCCATTGCCAAATGAACAATCTAGGATGGAAATTCTGAAGATTCATGCTGCTGGGATAGCTAAGCATGGTGAAATAGATTATGAAGCCGTTGTGAAGCTTGCTGAGGTGAGTTCAGTTCGGATTAATTTTGTTGATAATTGCAACTAATTTTGTTGATAATTGCAGCATGTTGATGTATTTTTTATTGCAAATTGCTCAGGGCTTCAATGGAGCTGATCTTCGAAATGTGTGCACGGAAGCTGGAATGGCAGCAATTCGTGCAGAACGTGATTATGTGATCCATGAAGATTTTATGAAGGTGAGTTCTTTTACTCTGACGAAAGCTATTTTTCTGTCTATTTATCAGGCTCAAGGGTTAGCCCTCATCACTCTCTGGAACAATAACTTGACTAATTTCTTTGGTGCGCAGGCTGTTAGAAAACTGAATGATGCAAAGAAACTTGAATCCAGTGCTCCCTACAGTGCTGATTTTGGCAAAGACTAGACTATTATGAAATTCTTATTCATGAATATCTAGGCAGTACATCTTGACTCAAATTCTTCGTGCAATTAGGTTTTGAATTGAATTATTTTTTGTTTTCTTTTAGATCATGCTCTACATTATTTGTATCACTGATCTTTGAATTGGTTCCTCTCCCCATTTATTGTTGAAGATCCTTATTGAGTGAAATTCTGTTCCAATCTTGATCAATAAATCTGATTTGATGCTTAATTGCTGTGACAGGTTATGTACTACTAATTACGGCCAGCAACAATCTAATAGTGAGTTGGAATTTAGTTTCTCTTCAATCCAGCTAGCTAAGCTCTTTTTTATAGTTATTATACTAATTTGAGGCGTTGGTGATCTGAGTGTTGCGTTGTGAACTCTACCTTCCGTGTAAACACTAGTGGAAAAAAAATTATTTTCCGTCTTTTCTTTATATTATGGTGACATTTTTATATATATGAATATTTTTTTGCACCTTAGTTGAAATTTTAATGGATGTAGAAAGTGGTTTGTTAAGCATGTTAAAATATCAATTGATGTAAATAACTTCAAAGGCTAGCTTAATGCAGTGATACTCATAATGTTCCAACCTTCATAATCTTCCAAGCTACATTGCCAAATCTCGATTTACCGATGGAATTATATACTGATCCATTTTGAAAGAAACGGTTTTCATGATTCTTGGGTGCGCGTTTTATAACACAACTTCAACTTTTTCAAATTTTTTTTTTTTTAAATTTTAGTAAGTATTGTTTTAATTTTTTTTTCTTATTAAAATCATTCTACACCCTCATAATTATTAAATTATAATTTTTATTATTACAATAGTTATATTAAAATTAAAAAAATTAAAATAAAAATAGTAATAATGAAAATAAGAAAAACAAAAATAATAAAAATAAAAAGAAAAATAATAATATAAAATCTAATTTAATATATTTAAATATATTAAATTATATTAAATATTAAATTAAATTAAATAATTATTAAATTTTAAATAACAAACAAAATATTAAAAAAAATTGTGGATTTTGAAATCCATGATAATGGATTTAAATTCGATTAACAATTTTTTTTAAAATTTTGTTTTTTTATTTATAATTTAATAATTATTTATTTTAATTTAAAATTTTAATATTATTTCATATATTTTCGTATTTTAATAATTATTAAAAAATAATTTATATTATTATAATAATTATATAAACAAATAAAAATAAAAGTAGTAAGCATTTTAAGAAATCTGATAAATCTTTTTATTGAATTTCAAAATTTGATAGTTTTTTCATCAAATTTTAAAATTTAGTGTTGGATTTCGAAATTTAATGAAAATTAAATTAGATTTTGAAATCAATGAAGTATTTTTCTTGCGAGATATAATAAGCATTTTAGAAAAATTGAAAGTGGAGGCTAAAAGATTAGAAGGTGCTAGTGTAAAAAGTAAAGCATTTACATTTTAAATTAACGTGGATTCTAACCAATATAAAAGGTCCATACAGTAGGGAAACCAAATTTCTCCACCATAAAATGTGAAAGTATAGAATTGAATTGATACAGCACTCAAAAAGCTTAAAAATTACCTCAGAGTGAACTGGAAAAGAATCGATGTTTTACCAAACATGCATTTATTAGACCGTACCATACTTTTGTACCTTCTCACACCCCTCAGTACATAATTTAAATTGCAATTGCCAGTCGGTAGTCCTTTTTATGTTGCTGTTGTTGACTCCTTTTTCTTAGGCTCCTTGCTTAATTTCCGTTTTATCATTCTAACAATCTTGAAGAACCAGAATGCACTTACCAGCTGCAAACCCAATCCCATAGCCTGTAACAATGGAAGGAATTAAACAAAGGTGACTGTAGTTACCTAGAAAACAGAAAAAAAAAATGGTTTCTCAAAAGAAAAAACAGCCTATACCTTTATGAGAAGTGGATAGTCAGCAGATAAAGTCATGTAAGTGATACACGGTCCCACCAACATCCTAGCAAAAGTAAATATGGCAGCAAACAGAATCTGTGCAATTGTGTGAAACTCAGCTTCAACACATTTTATGTCAATGTTTGATTAACAAAACCATAAGATCCATTTCAAAACATAGTGAGTGATTTTGTTATTCAGCTATAACTTGTCATAATATAGATACAGGAAAATTCCTCAACATTTGAAGGTTTGTGTTATATGTCTGAACATTGATACGATCTTTAGTTTAACTTTGAAGCATTATAAATATGGTTTGACATCATATAATTCAATCTAATGTTGATACATATCACATAGTAGGTTGACCATATTAATCAAATGTACTTTCAGAAGTGAAATATTTGGCATGACTATCATTTTACTTACATCAGCAGCCAAATTAAGGGGGGTATCTCTGTAACCAAGCTCTTTCAGAAGCTCCCTCAAATGCAAACATGGACTTGATATTTCTGTTATCCATATTGTCGCCACCATTTCTGAGCCACACTGTACACAGATATGGCAAAAAATCACTAGCTAATCATGAAACAGCCATAGTCACAACAAAAATGTTTCTGAAATTGAGGTAAATGAACAATACTGACAAATTGAGAAACAACTACTCGAAAATTTATTACCAATCCAGATGACCATATATTAATACTTTCTTTTTTCTAAAAGATTAGAAGGAGATAAGTTTGTGAAAAAGACAATGAGCAAAGCACACTTCTATTTATGAATGATTACATGAAGAAGATTTATTTCTGAGAAACTCAACAAACATTGTTTAATGTTTAACAGTGGAAACAACAATACATTCCAAAACTAGGAGAAATCACTTGAGCTTTTGATTACCTTTTGATAGAAAAGACCTGCTCCAATTCCAACAATGCTTACCAAATGGTGGACAGTGTTGTCTAGATTGACACTCTCACCAAAGTGACAACAAGCAAGATCATAAATCAGATAAGAAAGGCTCACTGCCAGAACTTGCATCTGTTCAGAAAACAGTTCAAACTTTCTACCTTAATGCCAATTCTAAAAAACAATGAAAAACACCCAAATCCATGTAAATAAATAATGAGGTTTCCCTCAAAAGGGTATGGCATGCAGTTAATCCTGTACCTGTTGGGGTGAAGATTTTGACCCCACACTACATATTGGACACCTCCAATCTTCAATAGAGAGCCAAGCCAATGTCACTGCTAAAGTTGCATGGAGAGTGGACACAAGGCGGTTGCAGAAATCAAAAGAGCGTTTGGGGAATACTCTTCTCAGTATAACAAATGCTGATGTCCATGAAACAACTCCAACAACAACTGTTTCTGTAACATACTTTTCCATTTCTCCACACTGCAAAATATGTCTTCACAATTCAAGTTTCTGCAACTGCATCGTTACTACTTCAATTGGCAAAAAAAAAGTGTACTTTCTGTTGAATTCAATACACACACATATGCACACAGAGTTATATGATTCAGATTGCAAACCTGTAACGACGATTCTGTGAAAGACATTAATTTGAGAGGATCCTTTGAAATATGATGTTGCTTTCATAACATAACTGCCACCAGAAATATGGATGAAGCAATGGAGTGGGGTTAGAACTTTGGAATTATCAGGAAATTATTCAACTACCACATTTATTATTATATGTTTGCATGAACAGATTGATAAATGAAACATGCAACTATGAACTACACAACCGTAAATAAATATCAATGAAACATGAGTCCAATAATATAAGAGATTAATACTATTTTTCATCAAAAAATCTTAAGATTATGAATTAATCCGATCCTTTACTTTTTTATTTCTATCTAATAGAACTTGGACTCAATTTTACTGTTTTCATATCCTTTTCAACCTACTTTTTCTGTTCTTTAACTAATATTTCAAGAATTATTGAGTAACTTTTTAATTAACTTAAAAACCAATTAATTATACTTACGTTTAAATTTGAAAAATATAAGTGCAATTACAACAGAAGGAAAGGGGACCATGCATATATGAACAGAATTGGGGTTTGGTGATTATGGCACTGTTCTTTTTGGCTAACAGACAAAAATCATTAGTAAAGCATGATTTAAGATGGCTGCAAATACATACATTATGAAAGTGTTGATAATTATTTTATTAATATATATACACTGATACAAAAATGTTTTGAACTTTTTATTATTATTAATTTATTTTCATTTATATATTATTTGTATTCCTACTTATTTTAGTTATATTTTTTCATGAAAAATTACTATATCATTGTCATCATTATATAAATGTTTATTATGAAAAATTATTTGTAATTTTATTGTAAGATTTTAAGTTTTTACTTTCATGTTTATTATCTATCAAAAGTGTGTGCTATTGCATCTGGAGATTTAGTTCTACCACTTCCCTGTAACAGTGTAAAGAGAGTGTGGTTTTGGATGATTTTTGTTGAACCTTTGATTTTGCCATGGAAATAGCTTTATCGATTCCTCTCCAACGTTGCCATGCTCATGATCATGTTGGGACAAGTTTTGGTTCGATATCCCCAACGTTGTCTGAAAAACGCAGCATGTTCATTATCGGTATGGGATTCGTGGGGCAATCACTTGCACGAAAACTGCACAACCAAGGATGGTTAGTTGCATTACATTCTCTTCCCTTCAGTATTTACAATTCTCGCTTCAAAATTTGTCTCATCGAATCAATGATTATTGGTAGGGTCGTGTCTGGGACTTGTACAACCCACGTGAAGAAGCAGCAGCTCCAGAACATGGGGTTTCATGTTCACCTTTTCGATGCAAACAACCCCGAGTGAGTCAGCTGGTAATTTTGCTTTCAATTTTGCATTTTATCTCGGAACAATCACTAATAGTTATATGGGTGTTAATTGGATTTGATGTCTGAATTGAGAACTATAAAGGGCACATTTGTGTTTTAGTTGGCAAGACGATTTCATGGTAAATAATTTCTTTGGGGAGTCGAACATGGATGTGTGAAATATGTTGTCAATCTGACTTAATGGATAAGACTTTTGCTGTTGTTTTTGTTCTGCAGTCTGGATATTCTAAGGCTACTGAAAAATTACACTCACGTTCTTGTTTCTGTGCCCCCTCTTGTTGGCATTGGTGATCCGGTATGATTTTACTGTAACTAACAATTGTTGTATGTGTATCACCATTCTGAGGATAATATCTGTAAACTTTCCACTTTTTTAATTATTTTTATTGATTTATAGATGCTCCAGCATGAAGAACTTTTCAGAAGGTCTTTAGTAAATTCAGATGTTCAGTGGCTGAGTTACTTGTCTTCAACTAGTGAGTCTACAATGAAATTAATGTTAAGGTTTAGTGGTTCTTAGCTGACATATGAACTGGGTTTAGACATTTTTTGTGTGTTGATTTCAGAGTGATGGAAAGACTTTCTATCTTGCAGGTGTTTATGGAGACTGTGCTGGTGAACTGGTGGATGAGGAGTAAGAGTATAACTCAATAAATCACTTGCTTTCCAAAATTTCTGAATCTTCTCCGTTAGTTGGTTCTTAGTGTGTGCATCATGTTGTGACAGTTATCCAACAAATCCAGAAAGTGAGTTGGCTAAATTAAGGTTAAGTTCCGAAGAAGGCTGGTCAAATGTGTCTCGTGATCTTGGGATCTCACCACTTTTATTTCGACTAGGAGGTATCTATGGCCCTGGTAGAAGGTACTTGCCTGTTCTCACTTCAATATTTCTATCATCAGTTTATTTGTAGGATCTGTAAAAGCCTAGAAATTTCTTGTCTAAGTTGGATGCCATGACAATCATTTCAAATATGTCATTCTAAGGATATACCAGTCAGTAAGTGTCACATCTCATATAAGATAAGAGTCACTTAACTGTCAATTTAGCATATATATTCCTTTGACATTGAACATTTCTTTTGTTTTAGTGCCATTGATACAATAATCAAGCAGAAACCAATGTCAGAAGGTCAGAAGAGGAGAAAACACCGAAAATACACATCCAGAGTACATGTTGATGACATCTGCCAGGCACTGATGGCTACTGTTGATGTACCTTCCCCCAGGTGAATTTTCTCTATAATTAACTTTCTGGTACATTTAACACCCTTGTGAAATGGTTCTAAGCTAACTAGCAAAAATTTCTAAGAGAAAAACAAAGTTGTAGGATTATCAAACAATATATTCTGCACTCTAGTTCAGCAGTAGTGGAAGGTTATGGCAATTACCTTAAAGAGCCTAAGTGGCTGGAGAAGCACAATTCTTGAATTTTAGCTTTATTTCAATGCCTTTATCATGTTATTTACTGTTGCAACTTTAAATGCAAAACAGATTAAATGTTTACCTTCTAAAATTACATGTAGGATATTCTCCCAAATAAAGCAACTATTATAAATACATACACTGATGAAGGAATTGACTGTGGCTGTTTATCTAATAAACACATCTTAAGTTGAAGATTTGTTAGAATTTTAGTGGTGAGCCTGCACACCATACCAACTACCGTTTAAAGGTACTTACGTTATGCCATTGCAAATACACAGTCGTAAATATTGGTTGTGTATGTTACTCACGATTTTAATAATTGGTCTGCATCCATAATTGTGGTTCCAATGTCAAAGTTTTGGTGGTTCATACAACCACAATTGTGACTTAACAGCAACGTCTGTTTGCTATTTTATGCAATATAAAAGTTTTTGATGAAAGAGAAACATAGCCTAACTACAATTGAAAACCATAACTAATTTTTCCTACGTTTTTTGTTTGCTGAGTCATACTATCGACCTTGACCAGAATAAAGTAGGCAAGAGCAACACTTAGTGCCTATGGGCACAAGGATAGCGTTTGATAGAAAATAATACGATAGACCTAAACAAATAATAAATCTTGTTAAGATAGCTTTTAGATATCATTTTAAGAAGAGAATTTCAAATCTAACTTAATTTTACAAATTGATTTGTAAGGTGAAGTTCACACTTACTTTTATACTGTAAATTTATCTTTTATCTCTAAAAGATACGAGATCACCAGCATAAATAGAATAAACAAAACATTGAAAGTGTAACAAGAATATCAATCCAAAATTCAAGAAAACATGCTATTAAATGGTAATATTAACAGTATAGAGAGAGAGACTGAAATTATGACAAATAGTTAAATTTAAGGACTTATTTGACGTCTCATATACTTGTTTAACATTTTCTATTTGTGACAACACCTACCACTTGCAGCAACTATAGTGATTGTTTATTGGGTCAATTGGTTTTATTGGTTGTGCTCATTGGGTCAATTTGCTCACCCTTTCAGAGAGGTTTACAATATCGTTGATGATGATCCTGCTCCGAGGGAAGAAGTATTTGAGTATGCAATGAAATTGGTGGAGGAAAAGTGGCCAGGGCTGAAGTTACAAAGTGTGGAGCAGAGTCAGAAAGAGTGGTCCAGTGTAAATCCAAAAGGTGACAAACGAGTGTGTAATGCCAGAATGAAGAAGGAACTAGGAGTACAACTACTTTTCCCTGATTACAAATCAGGATTGAAGAGTATAATTGACCAAATTCAGAGTCCATTCCACTGTCATTGACCAAATCTGGACCCTGATCATTACTGTAAAGTAGTGTCAATCTCTTATATGAGTTGAGTTCATAGTCATATTGATATAATTTCTTCCTAAAATGAACCACCTTAGGAAGAACCCATCAATTACTCACATCACTTCATGTTTGTTTCTCTGTGCAAATGCTATTGTACTGCTTCAAAATGAGAATCTTAAAATTAACACTTCTAAAAGTAGGATAAGTATGTCATCAAATCAATTGGTGTGATTATGCCACCGAACTAGTAATCTCAAATTAAGTTTTGATACAAGTGTTTGGGGTGAGAATTAATATATTTAGTTACAGTAATCTTATCTGGTTCAAATAGGTTTGTGTCTAATGCAAAATGCACTTGCCCTCTGAAAGAACAGGCAAAATAGTTACTAAAGCAACTTTGTTGAATAATGCCGGTAACTATTTGAAACCATTGCTCAAAATAGATTCCTTTTACTAGAGGTGGTTTTTCTAATTGTAGATAAACATGGAATACTGTATTTTTTTAAAATATCTAAAAATTAATTACTTATTTTTAATATTAAATAAAATAAACTAATATATTTACCTGATTAAAAAATGTTAAATATTTAAATATGGAATTTTAAAAATAATATTGGGTTACTGATTTAAAATTAGTAGAAGTACACTTATGTAATGGTTTAACTGGGTAAAATCATTTTCCTAAAATGAGATTATGATAACAAAAAAATAAAAATAAAAGAGAGGTATTATGAAATACCTCATTTAGTTTGAGGGTGTTTCTTCCTTTATCTATCTATCCATGTAGTGGCATTCGAACACAGACTATGGGACATGATTTCGAAATCAAAACCACATAGACCAGTGATGCCACTGAGCCGTAAACGCATTCTTTTATTATAAAACGAAGTTACAATATTTTTTTTATGCTATTATATTTACATTTTCACATTCTCACTTTTTTTTCATGTTATAAATTTTAATATATATTAAAAAATTGAATAAAACGTAAACTTTTTCTAATAATGAGTGTGTCGTGTTCATCAATGAATTATGTT